AAAAAAAAAAAAAAAAAAAAAAAAAAAAAAAAGTATTCGCCTGTGAAAATGGCTGGATACGTTCTTCTAAATGCTAGTGTGATGAGGGTTACAATCCTATGAGGGAACACAACTCGAGCAGATCACGAATTCAGATTGTCAGATTTCAAAAACAGAGAAAAAAAAAAAATGAAAAAACGGATCCAGCCGTGAAAATGGTTGGATACATAATGGTTTCAATCCTCTTAGGAAACAAAGTTTGCGCAGATCACGGATTCCGCCCTGCCTCGTTGGCAGGGGGCTCATAACAAACAAACGAGAAATAAGAAAAAATAAACAACAAGTTTTATAATGTGACCGTTTTTGCTGTAGGATACATTATGTAGAGGAAGACTGTGAGCACGACCTCCTAGACTATCTTGCCCGTCATCATTGCAATACAAAAATCTTTTTTTTTTTTTTTCCCCCCTTTCACGTGCGGGCAAAATAATACTAAGATTTATGGGGCTCACCGGCTCTGGGACCCACGACCGATTTCTTCGGGGACAAATGATTACATTGTAATTTCTCAACACTGGCAGAGGTACAAGTGGTTTAAGGAATCTCTAAAAGTAGTGGTAACACCTTATCCCAAGTGCCGATGGTGCGGAAAGTGGTTGTGGCTCGTGAGATACTTAAACCACCAGCACCTTTTCCTGCTAAAGTTTTCAGACTTCCTGAGTTCATGGAAGCCGCTCGTATGCCTCGGTGCTCCTTCGTTTTAAAAACGAAAACGAACGTGCGGAAGTTTTTAGACTTTCTGAGTTCATGGAAGCCGCTACTTTCGGTGGAGGCTGGGTCCAATCTCGCCTATGCCTCGGTGGTCGTTCGTTTTAAAAACGAAAACGACCAACTAGAGAAGAAAAAAAAAAAAAAAAAAGTAAAAGAAGAGAAATAAAAAATAATGCAAAATCTTGGGTACACTTCAAAATCTAGTTACAGCCCTCAGGGAAACTCTGGAGGTACAAAATCTGAAAAAAAAAAAAGGAAAGAAAGTCTCTTACTCTCTGGACGTGAAAGCAGACAGATACAACACATGTGAGTGACCGTGAGAGAGCCCCGTCGGTTGCAAGTGTCAGCTTTCCGTGGAAAGCACTTGCTTCGTTGGCAGGGTACTTCGACTACATCTAAAAAAAAAAAAAAAAAAAAAAAAAATGTAATACGCAACTGACCATGACTGTGGGTAGATGCATCTTGAAGTAGCACGTGTGTGAACACAAGGGCCTCGCTCCACTACTACAAAAATGTGCAAAACGAGAGTGAATCGTCCTCTAGAACATGGAAAGATACACCCCATGTTTTATGTCTTTTGAACATTTCGATAGTAGTGGGGCGAGGCCCCAACTCCCTCGTGGCCTCCAACTCCCTGTGTTGTGTTTGTTTGTTTGTTTGTTTGTTTTTGTTGAGCACTCGGCTGACAACAAGTCCGCTATTCAGGCCTTTTACGGCTCCTCTGCCAGTAGCAATGGGGAAAAGGTACTCGTCGCCCGTGCTGAGGGAAAAGGAAAACCACGGGAATACAACATAAAAGAAGGAGGAAAACAAAAGGAAAAAAAAAAAAAAATCAAAAGTACTGGTCGCTCGTGCTGAGGGACCGGTAGCTCCCCATATCATGACCACTTACCAACTGTATTCCCATGAGACAAAGAGGTTCGTTGCATGGAAAAAAAAAAGGTTTGGCAGAGTGCTCCGGAAGGTACTGGTGGTTTAACAGTGCGTTCATTCAAAGGTAAGTCGCATCTCTGTCTCTTTTGCATCTACCGCTTGTTCGTCCGCGACCGACGTATTGGTGAGCCTTTCGTTGGCTACCTAAACACCAAACATAATACCTATGAAGAAAGGTACATTTAATGATGACAAGGCATCTCCACCCTTCTATCGTCCTGCCCTGCCGTTCTGCCAGTTCGTCCTTAATAGCCGTTTATAATCGTTCGCTTTCGTCGTCTTCGAACTAGCAGCCTCTAATGTACAACTTCAGCCTGCTACTGGGACTACAATGAAGCGGGACTCCTTTTGGTGGTCGTTATCTTGCACCGTCGCTCATTCCTTCCTCTATTGCCCGCTTATTGACTGCTGTTCGGCTTGCAAAAAAGTGCTGCCGCTAGGCCTTTTCCCTACCCCTCTTTTTTTTTTTTTTTTTATTATTTTTTTTTTTAAACCAAGGTAAGGCAGGATGGTAGAGTGGTTACACAGGAAACTACCTCTCAAAGTAATCCTGGAAACGAAGCTGATCGAATGGTTCTTACTTATCTTCTTCTCGTGAGAAAAGATTTTTACTCCCCGCGTTCCTAACTACGATTCTGACTAGATTCATCTTCACGAAATAGAGCTTACTGGGTGGTGACCGCAGTAAAAGGTAGGTTACTCTCCTACTGAGAGGATGGGAAAGCAGCTATCGTTGGAAATAGAAAATACCTGTTGATGATACGCTTCCCTTACTCACCGGATTTTCGTGCTGTGAACGCGAACTAAAAATGGAAAGTCTCACACTGTTTTCCGCCGTTCCAGGTACGAAGATCCCGGCGTTCGCAGCGATCGCACCCAAAATCCGACAAGGAAAAGGCCTCAGAGTTACTCGCCTACCTCACCTCCAGCCTTACCAGCAGTTTGGTGCTCACGGAGCGGTTGGTGCTTCGGCCTCTGCCCTAGCCCCTTTATTTTCTAGGGATTCCATTGGTCGAACCGGTGACTGGGGCCCAGATTGCCTCTGCACCCCTTTTCAGGGGTCAGATACCAGGCAACGTTTTGAGGGGGTTGCTGAGGCTGGGGTTCTGGAGGCCCAGCCTTCGGCCCGCTATTTTCCAGCTGCGGATCCCTCTTCTAATGCCCCACCTTAGAGAGGGTCTTATGGGAGTCGGCTGCTGCCAAGCCCGGGTGAGTGCTGGCTTCCTGCCTTATCTTGTGCCAGTCTTGATTCTGCCGCTGATTCCTGCTTAGTTTACGCTGATGTATGCAGTCGGGACCAATGGAGGAAGGTTATTCACGTCGTCTATGAATAAAAACACCACCAAGGAAACCTGGCACGTTGTGTCTTTTTTTTTTTTTTTTTTTTTCTGACAGGTTCTGTCTACGTAGAACCCGTAGGCTGAGGGTAGGGATCTCATAGCGAAATGGTGACCTGGCCAAGCTGATGCTTCCTCCTATCGATTTCCCCCTCCCACCTTCTCTCTTTTCCTTAGTGGAGAGTTTACTTGAGGAGGAGGGTACCCTCGAACTCTCTCTATCCCTTTGATAAGCACTTAGCATGCAAGCTTAGGGGCAGAGCCCACCCGTGCTATGTGAGTGTTCTAGTCGTAAAAATGGACCGTCTCGAATACAGCAACAGTACCTACGGGACCACTCACTGATGCAATGTTTGTGCCGCACTAACAAAAACCAGCATTTGTCCTTCGGGACTTTTTTTTTTTTTTTTTTTTTTTTTGAGGTATTATCATCGACTAACCAGCCCAGGTAAATGCAATCTTGTGTCTAATCTGACAACGGTGGCCTGATAGCCTTCAGGGAACCCCCAACGGGGGGACACCGGCCAGGGGACAGCCAGTGGCAGATGGACCGAGCATCATCTGAGTGGCCAGTCGCTGTGCCTCCCCGATTACCCCTCCCCCTATGAACATCAGCAGAGACTGCTTTTTAATGCCAATTGGGGGGACCAACGGACTATCTCTAGGTGGCGGGCGCCAAGCATGCCCAGGAAGGTACATGAGGCCAATGGGGATTGAACCCAAGACGTCCTGAATGCCACTTGCGTGCCTTACCAACTGAGCTGGGCCGCTGGATCTTCGGGACAAATTGGAACGATACGGAGATTTCTTTTTTTTTTTGATACAGAGAAGATTAGCATGGTCCCCTGCAGCGCAAGGATGACACGCATAAATCGAGAAATAGTCCAATTTTTTTTGGGAAAAAAAAAACCCTGAGCATTTGCTGGCCAGTTTCGTGTCGTGCTCTCTAAGCACGAACATAACTCTCAAGTACGACTTCGCCCGAATGTTGGTGACATCGCGCAGTATAGTCTACCCTCCTGTCCTATCTGTCACTCTTTACCACTCCCACCCAAACGACAAGCAAGCACCTCCTTTGCCCTTCTACACACACGCGCGCGCGCACACACGCACACACACACACGCGCACACACACACACACACGCACACACACACACACACACAGAGGGGGGGGGCGCGAACTTGCATACATAGATATGTACAATGGATGAAGAGAAGAAGAGAAGAAGAGAAGAAGAGTGAGCGAGAACGCACAGTCTTCAGCTATTGTGTGTTACAGACGGCGACACACACGGGCACATACACACACAGAGAGCGAGCCAGCGAGCGAGCGAGCGAGCGAGAGAGAGAGAGAGAGAGAGAGAGAGAGAGAGAGAGAGAGAGAGAGAGAGAGAGAGAGAGAGAGAGAGAGAGAG